CCAGCTTCACAGTGCTGCACTTGAACCTGCTGACCACCAGGGAGGGCCAAGTCCTTTTTTTTTTTAGATTAGTTAATGAACCCTAGACATAATTCTTATTCTACAAGACCAACCTAGCCATAAAAAAAAAAAAAGATAGAAATTGTGTCATTTGTTGATATGGGTGATAAACTAAAATTTCCACATTTAAAATTACCAGATGATTTTTAAAGATAAGATGTGAAATTACTGTCAGTAGTGTCATATTTTCATGCACAGACAATAATTGTTGGTTAAAAAAAATGGTATGACCTATAATTATTTCAAAGAATATGGACCATCTATAGAGATAGCCAGTTTCTGTGACTACAAAGCTCAAAACATGCCAACTGTGAACTCATGGAAATCACTGTATGATGGGGAGACAGACACACAGGGAGCGATAGTTGGTGTCATGACAGCTCTTCTATTGGAGTCTCACACTTAGAGCTCTGCGGGTGCCAGTTAGGAAGACCACCTGGAAGAGGTGGTGTCTAACCCGGACCTTAAAGCCTGTGTAGCATTTGAGAGCAAGTAAGGGCCAAGAAGTGACTTTGAACTTAACCTTTTGTCACATGACATTTTCATTATTATTTTTCCAACACTGCAACTCACAGCTCATTCTGTGTGTCAGACTTCGTCCAAGGAAACAACAGTGGCTGAACAATAGCAAAGAAGCAGAGGAAGAAAATGGGAGCAGGGCGTACTTAGAAAATAGAGAATTCCTGCAAGACCAGACGCCGATTGGCAGAGGGGAGAGTGATACTGTGGGCCTGCTTAGTCCTCCTGCGGGTGGACAAGGCACCCAGCTAGCTCTAAAAGTTACAGGCGTCATCCAAGTCAGGCCTAGGGGTCACGGTGACTTCCTCAGTTGCTCTTCTGGCTTCTCATTCATTCACAGAAAGCTATGCCTAGGAGAACCACCAGTGAAGTTTGTTTTTGTTTTCGTTTTTATAGTTACAGGAAATAACATTTCTTAGGTATTTTTAGACACTCTGTATGAGCCCCACTGTAGAATCATCCCTTCTAACTGGATACCACCAAACCTCTCTGGAATAATTTCATCCGTGGTTTTCTCCTTTAAAAATGTTCATCTTACTTAGTCGTTCCCATCCCCCCACCTTCTGGCATTTCCTGCCAGGCCTGGGAAGCCAACCCCTAAAGGGCTTTGCCTGTGTGAGCTGCTAGGAAGGAAATGGAGGGTGAACTCCTAGAGAATCTCCCTTGGCCAACCTCCCTTACTGCCCTGAGGGAAATGCAAAATGGAAAAATCCTTAAAAAGCAGCTGGAGACATTTTTCAACTGAGTTTTAATAATCTGAGTGAGCATGGAGTGAGATCGTCTGAGGAGTGTTGACAGTGTAGGGAAAAACGTAGTTTCAGGAACTCTGGTGTTTATTTTGACTCTTAACTCCGAGGAACAGCAAACATGAAAGAAAAAAAAAAAAAGAAAAAAGCAAAGTTAAACATTAGGCCAATTGTAGGTTTTTTGTTTTTTTTTTTTAAATGATGATGATGTCAGATGAAATTGAAAAGAGCCAAGGGAGCAATTGAGTGAAGCTCAGGTCTCCTTCCTGCTAGATCACGCTCCCTATGGGGGCAGCACTTGACAAGCTGCAGGGCTCTGAGTGGACTGAGATGCTGATCCGGTGGGTTGGTACCCACCTGAGAAATAATATACTTGCCAATAATGGATTTCAAGTCCAGATAGCCTGAGTAATTGTTGACAGATTTCAGTGAGTTAAGCTCCATGATGGAAAGTATAAGCCTTGTGTTGGCAGGACCCTTTGTCTGAGGAGTGAGACTTCAGCAATCTCTATCTGCTACCTT